TTACTATTTTTCTACCACTATTTTCAAATATTTTCTTACTTTTTGGCAAATGAGGTTTTTTCAAACTCCCAATTTAAGACAGCGTATCTTTCTCGTGGTGGTCCTGACCCTATATTTTTTTCACACATTCTATAATTCTTAACTACGCAGAATCCTAAAATACAATCAGTGATTGTGGTTAGCAAGGTTTGCGGTGTTCGTTTGAGACTGTATAACTTAAACTTACTATTTAATTTTAACTCTGAATCCTAACTGGTCTTGGTGGTACAGATATTTTGCAATAGTCGACAGTGGCTTGACTAATAAGATGGCTTGACTAATCATCAACAAAAAAATTATAAGATATATGGGAGGAATCATTGAGCACCTCCCCTCTCCTTTCAAATAGTACCGGAAGTACATAACATTAGAATAAACACACTGTATGAGCAATAGAACAAAGTTGCCTCATGGGCACGGTATTAAGAGAAATAGGATAATCAATAAACAACCACAGTAGAAGAATCGACACTGATAATGACTCTAATAATAATTCTTCTGATGATAACACTGATAACACTGATCCCAGCCTCTTCGGTTGGCTGTTTATACAGTGTTTCTCGAGCAAACTGACCAGCTATTTGCCCTCCAGAAGCTCCTCCCTTTGGACAGACAGTGTACGTCTGTTATAGTATGGTAATGCCTTTCGCGTACTGTTGCGACACCAGCAGTTTTCCAATATCAAGTACATTCTATATAGGTGCACTCGGTTTGTAGAAGCTTAGAAATTTCGAAAAAAATGAAGGCTGCAGCATTCAGTAAAGTAAAAATTTTAGCGGTTTTAGCAGTCCCAAAAAACAAAGCTATAAACATTGAGTGAAAATTGATCAGATGAGTAACTGGGACTGACCATTTAACAAATGTAAGATTTTTCATATAATTATCATATCAGGTCCGTATAAAAGCCAAAAACATTCTTTTTTCCTTTGAATAATTCGCCACATTCACAGAATTATAAACATGGAGAACCATTACTGGACAAGTAAGTTTTGCTCATGATTTTTAATTACTTCATATAAATGGCACTTGCGTTATTTTGTGCAGTTGAGTCTGATAGCGGTAACATATGCAGACAGTTATGGATAAACATTGTTTTAGTATTAGTAGTTTTAGAGGAACTAGTTCAATACTTCTTTTGAACCAGTTTCTCGAAAACTTCTTAAAACTTGGCAAAAACGGTCACTGTACTATTACGCCAAAAGACCGATTTGCTTTCGCTTCATCGGCCACATGAAAAATTTGTGTTCTCCACTATGACTTTGAATACACCTGTAAACAAATTAGAATGTAAACAAAAAAAAGTTCTTCCCAACTTTCAAATATCAATCGACTAAACTTAATTTTTGCATGAATAAGCCCTTAGTTGTTACCGTACTGAATGCGCAACATTTTTCGTTGAGCATTAACAGTTTTCAGTGCCCAAATTGTTGTGTTTAAGTCAGTCGCAAAAAATATCATTTAAACAACAAATTTTTATCTGATCCAAAATGCTTTTTAAATTGACAGCATTAATAATATTTTAATTTTGATAAACTGGTAAAATTTTCTTTAAAGTATATAATATCCTTTTTTTAAACATATCGCGTTAGCGTCAATGTTGTCGGTATACTGATACTTTTGTAAGTGTAAGAAACACATACTTCTACAATGCTATAAACAACTGTCATCTGTAAAAAGCATGAAAAAAATTTGGTTTCTTTTAGCGCTGTATAAACGTTGGTGCAGCAGCATTCGCCACATATCAGAAAAGTACAACCAGATTGAGCATTTTGAGCACCCATTCCGCGGTGCAATATCTTCCCTCTAATGTTTGAAATTGAACCAAAAAATATGAAAGTCCATAGCATTTACATCGACGTTTCTCATCAAATCTAATTAGAGTAATGACTTTAATGAAACCCGCTCCTACAACATTACAAAAAATTTGGTTATCCAGATGATAATTTGTTTACAGGTTTTGTCACTGGGCTTTTAATAAATGCTGTGAGTCACCAATATTTATTTTTGAAACCTTTTATTTCGCATTTGACAGGTCTTCACTGTTAAATGCCACTACCTGTCTGCACTCTTAGACCTTTTCGTGTCACTATGGTCTTCGTTGCCCTACCATGAAGTTATGAACCTTAAGATCATTTACTCATTTTTCCTCTTGGATTTGAACTTTAAACCTCATTATCTAAAGTTTTTTTGCGACATTCTAATTATTGCAGTAAAAGAAGCTGCTGTTCTTTAAAAGAGTCATTTTCTTCGATGGGTCATTGAAAAAGTTTGAAGCCATATTACTGGAATTTCAGATTCAACAAACGCCCATTTAATGTAGTAATAAACAACAGGAGTGAATATACCTGTGTTTATTTGCAACATTTTATATACTGATTCTTCTGTTTGATCGGTTACGTATGTGGTTATTTCCTATAATAAGCCTCAAAATTAAGCGATTACTTAACATTTCTTTGTAAATTTCTGTATTAACTGACTGTTTATCACTTTGCTGTTGCAAGTTTAGCGTAATTTACAGTTTACGTATAAGTAGACCAAATTGACATTTAAACATTAAAACTGTTTTTAATACACTATAGTCCCACTAAAATGCACAAAAAGCTAGACACTGTTCGTACCCATGGCAATTCTGATCAAAATCCGTTATCTGTAGTATTTTAAGATTTTCGTCCGAAAATTAAAAAAAAAAAAGAAATATAACGATGCCCCGGTAAATTAAAGTCAGTTGTAAGTTGCGATTTCTGTCACCACTTTTACTGCACCGTCTCCATTTTACATTCTCATCTTGAAAAAAGTACAATATCTTGATAAAAAATTGTCGAATTATTGAGCAATCTAGTAAATATGAAGTTTATTTTGCCAAAAAGCAATTTCAATGCCATCTTGCTCTCAAACAGTGGAAACTACTTTTTCCTATGAAATTCTGCACAAAACAGAAACTATATCACGCTTTCTGACGCATTCGTGTGGCCGTTTGTGAAAAGTGCCTTGAATGCCGCTAAACAATCACTTTAAACCGCCTGCATAATAACCACCCCTTTCTTCCAATACTAAATTTAGAGCGAATCTTTTAGTTGTGATGTCTGAGCATTCACAGATTCTTTAGACGATAACTAAAGTTTAGAAAACGATTTCTTAAAAGTTCTCCTACCACAAGCATTTTGTCTTTTAGTCATTCACGATGGTTCTTCTACAATTTTCTTTTTAAGAACAAATACTTTGTCACTGCTGACGGCGGCAGTTTGCGGACTACACACCTCTTCTAGCCGCAACATGGTTAAAACATGACGGTATAATTTGGCCGAAGAAAAGCTGCCATCATAAACGTATAATTTAATGATGGTCATTCACGCCTCCTGTGTATTCGTATGCAATTTTTCCCTCATATCATTCATCCGTTAAAGGTTTTACTCAAAAAAGCGATGATTGGATACAACGAAGAACTCCCACCATCCCTTTTACTTCTTTTGCGCCCGTTGAAATTTGTGTTACATGAATGGGGGCATTTCGAATCTATATTTATATACTGAGTATTCCTTCCGCAGTCTGCTGCTGAAAAGCCTGCCAACACGAAACGCGTGTCTGTTGGAAGGGTTCCAGTTTCTGCACTTGAACCTTTGGTTGCAACCTGCTGTGTGACGCTGTAACGGATCGAATGTGTCGGGAATACTCATTTCGGAATGCGCTTATAGTCTATGACTATAAGGATACTCTAGGGGCTAGTTTTTCAATTATGCTGGCCCAATTATAGAAAGTTGAGCGCTCTTTTGAGCTATCTGCGAATTTTTGCGCGAGCCTGTGTTTTGTGAACGGGGCCGCTATAACGCTGCAAAACTTTTTGCTCATCCTTGATTTCCGCCTTGGAATCAACTTGCAGTCATTAAAATGTTCTAGAGGCGAGCTGTCCTGTTGTACCATTTAAATAGGAGGAGTTTACCAGCTTTAGCAATTTTTATAATTTATTGAGTTACAAATAATACGGCAGTTTCGTACAGTTGAAGCGGTGATACTTATCACACTGAACTGAACGTCTAAATGAATGTCCCAACTCAGGACAGAAATCACTATACTAGCCGTAGCCCAATGAAGCTCAAAAACTTTAAGAGTCAGTAAAATAA